TCCCGAGAGGTCTAAACATATTGACAATGCCAGTATTCTGACTGCCATAGTTTATAAAAAAATGTTTTCAAGTTTGTTTTTTGAAGGCTTTTACAATAAACTTCTGCTTGAACGAGTGGCGATCTTCGAATTTCTTACGAACTTCAAATAGATCTTTCTCTTAAGAGTATAACGCTCTTCAGAACACGTACGAATTCAAAACAGCCTTCCGTATACTATATTACAGCATAACACAGTTTTCAACTCGTAACATCCTTTTAAACTCGCACGAGTTCAAAACAGCCTCCCCTATACTATATTAGAACATAACACAGTTTTCAACTCGTAACATGTTTTTAAACTCGTACGAGTTCAAAACAGCCTCCCCAGCCTCCCCTATACTATATTAGAACATAACAAACAAGTTTTTAGAAATTCTTTATCGATTTTCTGGCCAATGAGAAAAGTCAATTCATAGAAAAGCAACATTTTCTAAACAGTCAGAAAATCGCTGAGGATTTTATTAAAGTTGAAAAATCCCTGGAGATTTTTCAGTTCGATTTTCTATAAAGTAGAAAATAATTGTCGGCAATTCGAACTTCAAATAAAACTTTTTTCTGATTAATTCATACATGATTGGATAGAGCGTGATAAGGTAAGTAAGAAAGGTGGTTTTTTAACTTTTTTGAAAAATATTTTTACGGCCGAAAAATTTGAAATACTTGAAGAACCCATTTTTTCGAAAAACCATTCATTTTCTAAAAATTCAAAGTTTCTTCGATCCAGAGCTCTTTTTCAGTTTTAAACTATATTTTTCGGATTAAGCGTTAACAATTGAATATTAAAACGCTGCTTAATTGAATTCAAACTCAAACATTGATTGAGCCTGACTTTGGGAATCAGACCATTGAAAATGATACATGCATCTCTTGTAAACCTATCTAGGTATGCACCGGTTTCGGTTTCAAACCTAAAAACCGACACACAAAAACCGATATTCGGTTTAAACAGACACCGAAAAAACCGAATATTCAAGAAATTTTCATAGATGGTAGGATACTATGTAGTATCTATAGGCAAAAGATCATTGAAGTCGTCGTTGGACATCTGGAGAGGTCCTCTCGTTAGTATTATTGTGAAATTTTGTGTCTCGATAGACATATATAAAACTCGTTAAGTCAAGATGTAGATTTGCGTGTGCAATTTCGCGTACTTCGGTTTTAGTTTTTCGATTGTCGGTTGATTGAAACAGGTACACAATAAAATCCGATGTTTCTTTGACAACGGTAAACCGATGTTTTGTGCTCACTGTTTACATCATTTTAAAAGCTTAGATAAAAATGTCTGAGAGTTTTTCGGTGTCAGTTTAAACCAAACATCGGTTTTTTCGGTGTCGGCTAACCGACACCGGTGCATACCTAAACCTATCTAGCTTTTTTGGTGAAGAAATAATGTCATTTGCTTTGTCAAAAACGAATTTGCTGAGCTAATGTAAGTAAAACAAACGTTCTCATATTTCAGATTAAAAAAGTTAGTTTGATTTTCTCTTTTTTCCCAACAGTCTTCGAGAGCAGGTCTGGTAATATTCCTACTCTGTGAATATTCCGTTCGTTTTCTTTCTTTTTTAATGTTTGTTGCACTACCATCGGCGCCAAAATACAAGTCCGGTGGTTATTTTTTGAATACTTAAAACTAATAAAAGTTAGATGCTTGCGGTTTTCATCCTTTGCTAGTCAAGACTTGAAGCTGTGTTTTCATACGCAAAAACAATGGACGGCGGCGATTATTTGATGGAATCGGCCCCTGCTTGAATTTCATCGACACATACACGGTTAGATGCAGAATGAACGGAAGAACATTTCTACAAGTTCATATACACAAAGTATTGAGAAAACTGTCCTGGGTCCCCTTCACATTAGAAATACTGTCTGTAAAGCCGTGAAAAGTGGATGACTTACTTCACGGTGACGATCCTGTGATCAACGTTTCTCAACTAGCCACTTCGATGGATATACCATTCAATAGAGAATTTCACGAGCTTCAGAATGAGCGATAAACAAGTCTTTCAGAAAAATGTCCACTTGGGTCAATAGCTGAAATACTTGTCCGATATAATGATTTTGACCTATCTTAGTGTTTTCAACACTTCGTTAGTCGTTTTTCTGCCATAATGAAAATTATGTATTGTTCCAAAACATACCACTGGAGAGCCCTTGAAATGCTCTACAAAATTAGCTGGTCACAATATACAGACAGGTGGGACCTGTCATTAAAGATATTGAAAAGAAACTTTTGGGTGTTATCGAAGCAGCACCGTGTGTCATAATCACACGAACTCCCTTGCTTTTGACCTTTTAGTAAAAGCTGGAACTAATCTGAATAGTGTTTTGAATAGCCCGAAGATTTTTCAATTTTCAATTTATATGTATGTACGTCCGTCACACTACCACAGAACTATTTATATGTACGTCCGTCACAATGCCGTCACACTCGCACACGACTATATGTATGTACGTCCGTCACACTACCACAGGACTATATGTATGTACGTCAGCCACACTCACTGGTTTCCATGTGTCTGTACGTCCGTCACGCTCACTGGCCACGATATGTACGTATGTCCGTCAGACTGCCACATGACAACATGCATGTACGTCCGTGGTTCGCGAGTGTCTCTTCTCTTAGTTGTTAACTTCGAGGAATATTCTTCGAGTGACGTGGTGACCTTATTCGATATCACCATCCGCGATCAATTCAATGTATTAGATATTGGTTTAAATTATTGGGATTATCATTAATGTATGAACATTATTAGACTTTTACATTGGAACTGATTAAAATTAGAACAAATTTAACTCTTAATTCAAGTATTAGAACAACGAACTACAGGCTAACAGAAAAAGGTTTTTATTTTTATTTTTCTATTTTTTGTTTTGTTCTTTATTAAGTGTATTTCTATAGATAGCTCTCTCCATTATTTTTTCTCTCTAATTCAATAATAATTTAATAATTCTTTATGGATAGTGATTTAGTTCAAAAAACTTGTGCGCATTGGTTACGTTTGGCATATGCAAAGATTAAGAGAGATAAGATATATGTACACCAAAACTGGGGGTGTTTTTTGAGGGAATTAAATAAGATATCGCCCGATACTTTTGATAAATTCTCGGCAAGTATCGATATCAGAATAGAAACTAGCTCCATCCATAAATTACTAATATTGTTGAATGAAGAAGCCATTACTAATTCTCCATCATGGTTGAATAAGTCACAGTTGGGTTTTATAACGGAGTACTTTCATCGGACATTGCGATCACAGATGAGTGTTCCCTATGCGGATGAACTAGCAAAATGTATTGATTCAGAGGCCTCATCAGTTACAATCACACACAATCTAGATTTATTTTCACCCAATTCCTCACAACTGCATTTGACAGATGAGGAGGATGAAAATACAGTAGTCCAACCGAAATGTAATCAAACTGTAATATTGGTCCCGGTTAATAATACTGATTCACCAGTTACAGTGTCTTCACAGTCTATAACTTTAGTCGGTGATAAAGTACCGAAAGTACCGTGCTTCCTCTGCAGTATTAAACACTAATAATACAACTTTGACCTCTCCGATATGGACTACTAGCGATAGATCTAATAGCGCAACGGCAACTACTACAGTCCATACAGCATCTGTTAGTGCATTGGCTCCTCTTTGCACAGGTTTGACAACGAATACGCGATGTGTACAAAAAAGTTCTATAAGCTGTCAAACAGAAACGATAGTAGAGGAGGAAAAAAATGTAAATAATCAGGAAGAAAGTCATCTCCGCAATCTAGAATAATATCGACAACAAATAATACTCTAATGTGGGATGGAGTAGCATGTCAGACTAATATGAGCTTAGATATGTCTAGTGAAGCTGTGTAGAAAAATCCCACGGAAGAAATCGTGGAAGATTTTCGAATATATCGCGAATGGTGGTTAACAACAGATTGTGGAGTAAAAATTCATAATATCAAGTTAAACAAAATTGATCATTGTACTGGAGAACACGGAAATAATACTAGTTGCCAAATCTGTCTGGGTGTATCAAGAAACATTTCGTTACAAACGGAATGGACGATGGTGACAACGGAAGAAGATACATTAGACGTATATAGACAGGAGTGTGAGCGATTTTATCGATTTCGGAACCATTTGGCGATTAATCGCTATTATGCGGAAAATGACATAATACCACGCACATTTAATTTTGAAATACCTGTGCAAATATTTGGAGCAAAGGATCCCTCACTC